GCCTCCCACACCTGGTCTTCTCCCTAAATGCCACACAACGTAAACACCTAAAAAAGTGCAAAAGAGGGCATGCAAGATTATTCTCTCCCTTCCTACTCCACATATCAAGAAGCGCTCAACACACTGACCCTTTCGACTCACTGACCATCACCACGACCTCATCTGCAAATTTGGTAAGAAGCTTCTACACCATCCCCGACACCGGCCCCTACTACCACCTGAGATCCCCTGTCCGAGAATTGCTGTTCGACACCACAACCGCATCCAGCCCATACGTGCACGAACTGATCGCTATAAGAACAGCCCAGTCCCAACCATTGTAAAAATTATCAATAACATGTATAAATCAGTGTATTCACTCCCAGTAAACACTGCTCCCTACACTGTCACTATGTTGAAATGAACTGTATTTTGAGCTGATCCCCATCTAAGTTACTATATGTCTTATTTGTGTCACTTATGTCACTTGTATATTATTTGTAATTCGTAACCCATTCCCCAAATATGTAACTGTATATTTTCAGCCTTCTGCTGCCAAGCTCTTTCAATAAAACTAATTATATATTATTATATATTACACACACACACACACACACACACACACCAGAGGTTTATCAGTGACAATACACACCCCGGCCAAACCTTTTCACTTTAATTAAAACACGGCAGGTGGTCTGATGGGCGCCAGGCCGGGATGGTGGGCGTGGTGGGTGTTCTGATGGGCGGGTGGTGATGGCGGGTGGTGGGCGAGAGGTTGTGGGTGTGGTTATCGTTCTTGACAGGTAACCCTTGTCCAGGGTTCGAATCTTCAGAGGAAGGAGGAAGAGGAGGAGGGAAGGAGGGGAGTGTTTAACTGTTGTCTGGATCAAGAAGAAGAGGGAGGAGAAGAAGAAGGAGAAGAAGAGGAGGAGAAGAAGAAGGAGAAGAAGAAGAAGAGGGGGGAGAAGAAGAAGAAGAGGAGGAGAAGAAGAAGGAGAAGAAGAGGGAGGAGAAGAAGAAGGAGAAGAAGAAGAAGAGGGGAGAAGAAGAAGAAGAAGAGGAGGAGAAGAAGAAGGAGAAGAAGAGGAGGAGAAGAAGAAGGAGAAGAAGAAGAAGAGGGGGGAAGAAGAAGAAGAAGAAGAGGGAGGAGAAGAAGAAGAAGAAGAGGAGGAGACGAAGAAGGAGAAGAAGAGGGAGGAGAAGAAGAAGGAGAAGAAGAAGAAGAGGGGGAGAAGAAGAAGAAGAAGAGGAGGAGAAGAAGAAGAAGAAGAGGGAGGAGAAGAAGAAGAAGAAGAAAAGAAGAGGAAAGAGGAAGAAGAAGAAGAAGAAGAAGAAGAAGAAGAAGAAGGTGTGATTGATGTCTGGTTGGAGGAGCGAGTCAACACTACAGACAAGTGGAGGAGGTAGAGGGGGAGGGTGGGGAGGAGGACCTGGTATGACCTTAAGCTGCCGTGAGGAGTGCTGGGAGTAGCTGGGGGGGAAGGGAAGGTAGGGGTGAGGGGAGGAGGTAGGGGTGAGGGGAGGGGAGGTAGGGTGAGGGAGGGAAGGTAGGGGGAGGGAGGGAAGGAAGGAGGGGAGGTAGAGAGTCAGAAAAGGCATTTATAGAGCTTACTATCGCAATTAAATTAAGGAGTACACCTATAAATTATTAGTACATCAAATGACACACACACACACACACACACCCTTTACCAAGTGATACCCTTATGACACAAAGGTACATAATATAATAGTCGTGTGTGTGTGTGTGTGTGTGTGTGTGTGTGTGTGTGTGTGTGTGTGTGTGTGTGTGTGTGTGTGTGTGTGTGTGTGTGTGTGTGTTTTTGAACTTTGAACTTTATTATAGTGTCTGTCTGTGGTTCACCTTCCTGGCTGTGTGTATATAATTATGTATGTTTTTCTCCGTATATATACAAGAATGTATTACATGTGTATGTGTGTGTGTGTGTGTGTGTATCTGTGTGTATTTCTCGCCCTGACCAGTGTTTGTCCAGTTGTATTGTCACGATTTTAAGTATTACCAAATTATTATTACTTATCAAACAAACAATAGACATAAACAATACAAACACTGAACAAACAATAAAAACAAACAGTAAAAACAATAGACATAAACAATAAACAAACAATAAAAACAAACAATGAACACAAACAATAATCTAACCTAACCTATAAACAATACCATATTTATTATTACCAACACAGAGGACAGACCTTCAACCTTTACTCAGCCCCGCCTCACGTCTCATCAGTATTATATCAGGTGTGTGTCTCTGATTGGATGTTTATCTGGGCGTCTGGCTGTCTGGGTTACTGATTGGCTGGCAGGATATATATTTATGTTTGTTTTCCTCGCTCTGTGTGTGTGTGTGTGTGTGTGTGTGTGTGTGTGTGTGTGTGTGTGTGTGTGTGTGTGTGTGTGCTAATATTTATCCAGGTACACTCAGCTTCGCCCCATTACTAATTAACATACACTCACCTGTCCTCCTCCAACAGGTAACCCTTACGTCTTTTTGAGAATAACATCTTTCTGTCGTAACTTAAAACGTTCTTTTTTTTCGTAAGTGAAAGAAGAAAATTAGTTACTTGTTCTTTAGAAAGTTGTGGGAAAAATTTAATGTGTGATGATAATAATAATAATAATAATAATAATAATAATAATAATAATAATAATAATAATAATAATAATAATAATAATAATAATGATGATAATAATAATAATAACAAAGGGGACGATGGAAGGGGGGGGGTGAGGGAGGGAAAGAGAATGGGAAAGGTAGGCGAGAGAAGGGAACTGGAAGAGAGAGAGAGAGAGAGGAAAACACGACAGGTGAAGGTACAGTACAGAGAAAGGTTTTGGTCCGTGACCCCCTGAGTGAGGCAATGTGGCTCTCTCTCTCTCTCTCTCTCTCTGTTATGTGCGTCTATCTATCTGTCTGTCTCTCTCTCACCTGATCACCTATTTGCCTCTGTCTACCTGTCAAACCGTCTAAATTTTCCTTTCTCTCTCTCTCTCTTATGCCTATCTGTTTATCAATGTATCTACCTGTCAAAGCACTAAATTGTCTGTATGTATGTGTGTCTCTCTCTCTCTCTCCTGTGTGTGTGTGTGTGTGTGTGTGTGTGTGTGTGTGTGTGTGTGTGGGTCGGTCTTCTGTGTACACTCTACCGCCCCCTGGCACCTGGCGTGGGTAGGGAGAGGTACATGGGGGTTCACTGGCTCAGGCGTGTCCTAGACTGTACGAATTCCACCAAACCGAAGTTCTATCTGGTTGGGGCCCGTTAGAATAAGGGTCTATCAGCACAGGGGCCCGTTAGAATAAGGGTCTATTAGCACAGGGGCCCGTTAAGACCGAGCCTCTATCTTAATGACTACTTTGGGGTGGGTCAGCTAGAGGTGGGGCCCAACAGGACTAGGATCTATCAGAACTGGGGTCCACCTGACACTTCACCACAGACAGACGTAGGTGGCGGTGTGTACGTGTGTGTCATATAAACACGTCACTACGAGCAGAAACCTGGCGTACTTTCGCCTGACGCACAATATCATCCACAGGGCGTGTCATTGTAGTTTAGTGAGGAACGCCAGGCTCTGTTCATCGCCCGTGCTGGCTTAAATACACGACAGGTGTAAAAGGCCCCAATTAATAACCTTACCTGAATATTGATATTGGGAGGCAGTTGAATTGGGGCCTAATAGGACTGCATGGGGCCCAGTTGACCTGCATCTGTTGTCATGGTCAGGGCCGTGGCGAAGAAGGTGTGGACTTGCTTATACGTCGACACTATCATCGCCACCGCCGCCGATGATGCCTGCGGGCGTAGAGGCAGGAGATGGTGGGCGGACGAGCTGGTGGATCTTACCATACATGGTCAACGGCAAGGAAGGTGGGCGGCGGGCGGCGTCCAGTGGGTGGCTGGGTGGCCTTATTAGGTTATAATCATCATCACCACCACCACCACAGCCGCCTACCACCATCACCACCACCACCAGTACTACCCCGTACCACCATCAAAACCACCTCCCAACACATGCCTTTGAGCACCCCCCCCCCTCACACCACCCGGTCGTGTACACATATTTGATTTCGACGCAGCAAATCTGTATACGTTCCTCGCCAACCCGCATTTGTAATCCAAGAACGGTGAAGTCGTCTCGGGGATGGCACTGTAATATGGCACCGAAATTTGGCACTGTAATCTGGCACTATAACTTGGCACTGTAACTTGGCACTCTGGATATAGTGCCTCTATAGTTACATGGTTTAGTAGTGGATCAGTGATAGGTGACCTCTGACCTTTACTCTGGTGTGTGAGGGGGAGGAGAGGTCAGGTAAGGTCGTGATACACATGGAAAAAACAGGTATAGGTTAGGTACAGGTACAAGGACAGGTAACGTTACAGGTACAGTTAATTATACAGGATGTGTGTGTGTGTGTGTGTGTGTGTGTGTGTGTGTGTGTGTGTGTGTGTGTGTGTGTGTGTTAGTCAAGGAGAGAGAATTCATGTTCATCACCCATTCTCTCTCTCTCTCTCTCTCTCTCTCTCTCTCTCTCTCTCTCTCTCTCCTGTTATTTTCCCTCGCCATATGGGAAAGGAAATTAATCTTGTTTGCAGTCTGTCTGTCTGTCTTATCCGTCTGTCCATCCATCCGTCTATCTGTCCGTCTGTCCATCCATCCGTCTATCTGTCCGTCCGTCCGGTTGAGAATTATAAATAAGATAACATGAACATTGTAATCTAACTTAATATCCAGATCTATCATAACAAAATCTTATCTGAATATCATAATTAATATTTTAAGTCATTATTGAACACATTTATGGCCTCTTGGACGTAACCTAACCTAATCTTACCTAACCAAACCAAACCAAACCAAACCAAACCAAACCTAACCTAACCAAACCTAACCTAACCTAACCTAACCTTACGTATATATGTCTCAAAAACAACCATATAATAAATGTAAGAAAGAAATTAAATGAAAGAAATTAAATGATTTTCTCTGTTGTATTCCCCAGCTTCTGTCACTCAAGGCTCCTGTACATTGGACGGTCTGACTTATCCCAGCGAGACGGCCATTCCTCGCGACCACCCCTGTCACTACTGCATTTGTTACCAGAGTCAGGTGAGTGTTATATCTGTCTTATACTGACCCTAATACTCCTGATACTTGGTACAGCTGCGTAACTTTGCCTCATACTAACCCTCATCTAATCCAACCTCACACTGGCTCCTACTGCCTCCCACTCCCTCACACTGGCTCCTACTGCCTCCCACTCCCTCACACTGGCTCCTACTGCCTCACACTGGCTCCTACTGCCTCCTCCCTCACACTGGCTCCTACTACCTCCCTCCCTCACACTGGCTCCGACTACCTCACACTGGCTCCTACTACCTCACACTGGCTCCTACTGCCTCCCCTCCCTCACACTGGCTCCTACTGCCTCCCACTCCCCACACTGGCTCCTACTACCTCCCCTCCTTCACACTGCCTCCCACTCCCTCACACTGGCTCCTACTGCCTCCCACTCCCTCACACTGGCTCCTACTACCTCCCACTCCTTCACACTGCCTCCCACTCCCTCACACTGGCTCCTACTGCCTCCCACTCCCTCACACTGGCTCCTACTACCTCCCACTCCTTCACACTGCCTCCGACTACCTCACACTGGCTCCTACAACCTTACACTCCCTCACACTAACTTAATTAATTATTACGTGACCTCGAACGACAATGAACCCAGGTCAGGTAACATGAACTATGACCTCATTAACTAACTACCAATTACCACTTACCATCAAAAGCAATTAACCAATGAGAGCAAATATTGGTTCTAATTATGATAATGAGACATTCGGGAGGAAGGAGGGGAGGAGGGAGGGAGGGGAGGAGGGAATGAGGAGGGGGAGAGAAGGGAGCAGAGGAGAGGAGAGAGGAGGAGGGTAGGAAGAAGGGAAGAGGAGGAAGGAAGAGAAAGGAGGAGGAAGGGCTTGACTTGGTGTGATCATGTTGAAGATGGAAGCCTTTTAGCCAAGAGGGTAATGGTTTACTTTAGGTTTACCTGAGGTTTAGCTCGAGTTTACCTGAAGTTTATCTTGAGTTTACCTATAATTTAGCTTAAGACTACCTGAAATTTAGCTCGAGTTTACCAGAAATTTAGCGTAGTTTACCTATTAGTACCTCTCCCCATCACAAGTAGCGTATTATAAGTACAAGGCTTATCTATGGAAATTTCAAGTGGTTAACTATAGTAATAAGTGCCTTCTCCCCTACAGGTAACGTTTTATAAGTGTTATAAGTAATGGGGTCTACTTACAAAGATCTTCTCGACTTCTACTTACAAGGTCCTGCTCTCCTTCCCCTACAGGTAACGTGTTATTGGAAGCAGTGTGCAGCGGCTCCCAGGAACTGTGCCATCATGCATTTTGAGAACGTGTGCAACCCCTCCCTCTACATGTGCAGTGAGTACCTCTTATGGTGTGTGTGTGTGTGTGTGTGTGTGTGTGTGTGTGTGTGTGTGTGTGTGTGTGTGTGTGTGTGTGTGTGTGTGTGTGTGTGTGTGTGGGTAGCCCTAGTGATAGTGTGGACTAGTGATGTGTCCTAGTGATGGTGTGTGTGTGTGTGTGGGTAGCTCAAGGCCACACTCTGATATATTGTGGCCCTTTCGTGTGGCCAAGTGAAAGTGTTGACTACTGATGAATGATGTGGCCACGGGCTTGTACATGGAGCAGAAAGTGGTGGTAAAGTGGCCTACTGACGGTGGTACTGTGGCCTACTGACGGTGGTACTGTGGCCTACTGAAGGTGGTACTGTGGCCTACTGACGGTGGGAGAACCTCACTGCCAACACTCAGAGGTTAGGTTAGCTTGGAGCATCAGTACCAGCAGGACCCACGGTGACCCAGACAGACGGTGTGGAGGAGGAGGCGGCAGCTCAGGACGACTAAGGTAAAAAGTGTCCCGTCCCGTCCACCCTGACAACAAGGTCACCCTGCCCACGCCCTCACCACCTGACTGATACACTATCTCCGCATCCTCACCACCTGCCGCCCCTCCCTCACCTGTTAGGGTAAAGTCTCGCGGTTCAGTTCTACCATTAATGCCATCACTTCTTGTGCTTCAGGTTAGGTTAAGTCAGGTCAGGTTAGGTTGGGTTTGGTTAGGTTAGGTCAGGTTGGGTTAGGTTAGGTTCTCTTAGGATAGCGGCCATGGGTCTCTGAGTCTTGAAGGGTTAGTTAGTTTGTTTTTTACCAACACTTCCAGAATGTAGGTGTAGTACAAGGCCAGAGGGAACTTTCCATTGTTGTGATAAACTTGCTGTAGCGGGGTGTAGTGAACGTGTATCCTAGTCAATAAAACGGATGTATACAGAAGGTATTCCCCGTGTGTGTGTGTGTTCTGGTGGTGCATGTGCTTCTTCCATAACAGCGCCACTGAAGGCAGAAGGTAAAATAAATCTTCGTCTGGCGTAGCACCCATAAACGCGCCCATCGTCCAGGATGAAGGGAAACGCCTGGCGATGTTGACTGTTCGTGCTGGCGCTTTATTTATAGAGTGTCAATGTTTGGTCCAAGGTTGGCGAACGATTACTAAAGTATGAAAGGTGGGAACTCCTGGCGTTACTAAATGCTCGTGTTGGCGTTAATATGACCCAGTACCGAGGGGGGTCAGCCTAACACTAGCTTAACCTAACAACAAACTAGGGGAGATATACCACAAATACCTTATATACGAGGATATCGATCATTAACGCCTTCGTCAGTAGAGATTCCAACCCGGAACGAATAGGTAACCTGCCGAGGACCACAGCCACTCAGCCATCGTACCTGTGTAAGAGAAGCTAATTACGTCACGGTTGATCAGCCAGGCTCGACCACGTCATAGTAATAGTCAATAGTGTTTGTTATCGTGTTGGTGATTCAGGTCAGCTGTTTACAACCTCTCCTCCTGCCCACCACTGTAGCCAAGACTGTTGTTGTTATAGTTGTTTGTTCCTGTTTGTTTGTTTGTTGTTGTTAGTGTTGTCTGTTGTTGTTGTTATTATCACTAGTAATATTAATATTTGTTGTATTAATATTATCATTACTACTACTGCTGTTATATCCTAATTATTATTACAGTATATATATTATGTTTAGTATATAAATTATCATATTTATTATTATTGGTATTATTATTATTATTATTATTATTATTATTATTATTATTATTATTATTATTATTATTATTATTATTATTAATAATAATAATGATATTATTATTATTATTATGCAGGCCAACAAAGGTCAGGTAAGTAGAACTATCTTTAACTCTATATAGGTCAGTAACTAATTTTAAGAACGGGAACAAGTACAGTGTTCATACTTGTTCAATATAATACCAAGACCTGACACGTTCATAAGGTCAATGTTCAAAGGTGATTAACTGTAAGAGGCAGCAGGTGACAACTGTAGTTGTGTGTGTGTGTGTGTGAACAAATACAATAACAAGGTCAGCACACGACCTTATGGTTCTCAGCCAATCACAATGAAGTATGTCACGGGGTTTATGGATCGTCCAATTACGTCACGGGTGCCAAACTACACAGCAGCCAATCATAGCAAAATGTCACGGATACCGAACAACAAAACCAATCTCAAAACATACTCGTCAAGGATACCAAATAACACAGCCAATCACACTGTAACACGTCATAACCTGCGTAGGAAAGCAAATCGAATGGGTTTAATTTGCTAGCTTAAGGTGTGGCGTAGGTCAAGGCCGGCTAATGGGACCTTCACCACTACACCTGTTAGACGGACGGACGGACGGACGGACGGACGGACGGACGGACGAACGGATGGGACTTGATGGTAATGAGTGTGAGGTCATAAGAAGAACATAAGTACATAAGAAAATAAGGAGTCTGCAATAGGCCGGTTGGCCTGTGCATGGCAGCTCCTGTCGAGAGTTACTACCGCTCTCTATCATCCATGAATCTATCCAGCCTCCTTTTGAAACTTTCCAGAGTTCCCGCACTTACTACAAAGTTGCTAAGCTTGTTCCACTCGTCCACCACCCTATTTGTGAACCAGTTCCTTCCTATCTCCCTCCTAAACCTAAACTTATCCAACTTGAATCCGTTGCTCCGAGTCCTATCCTGCTCGGATATTATAAGAACTTTATCTATATCCCCTTTATTGATTCCTTTCACCCACTTAAATACTTCTATCATATCTCCCCTCATTCTTCGTCTTTCTAGGGAATGTAAGTTAAGTTTCTTTAACCTATCCTGATATGGAAGGTTTCTAAGTCCCTGAATCATTTTTGTCATTCTTCGCTGCACCGACTCTAGTGAATTTATATCCATTCTATAATAGGGGCACCAGAACTGAACAGCATAATCGAGGTGCGGCCTGACGAGCGCAAGATCTAGTTGCAATAAGACCTCTGCACTCTTATTTACTTACACTTCTAGATATAAAACCCATGAGCCATGATTTTATCCAATTTAAAACTTTCCCCTCGATACCATGAGCCTTAATTTTCTCCAGAAGCCTCTGATGCGGTACTCTGTCAAATGCTTTGCTAAAGTCTAAGTAAATATCATGGTGACGCTCAAGGTCGACCTCCACACCTGAAGAGGAAATGCATACATACACATACATATTAATAAACCTGAACAGTCAAATACACATATATACGAATGGGAATACATTTTGTTTATGAGAGAGAGGTTGCAACAAGAGGCCGGAACTGAACCATTTATATTCCTGTACACAATGCGGCGGATGAGTACGGTTGAACCAAGGTGCCTCGATAAATGCGTAAATAATGCGTAAATGAGTAACAAAATAAGCACTGTGAGTAAATGGCTAAAGAGTTTATGTCCAATAGTTGAATGAGTGAAGATAGGTAGTGGAGTGTGTCAGTACGTGTGTCAGTGTCAAGTGAGTGTCAGTGTCAAGTGAGTGTGTCAGTGCTCAGAGGTGTGGTCAGTGTCAAGTGGAGTGTACAGTGCCAGTGAGTGCTGCGTCAGAGTGTGTGTCAGTGTCAAGTGGTGTGTCAGTGTCAAGTGAGTGTGTCAGTGTCAAGTGAGGCCAGTGTCAAGTGAGGTCAGTGTCAAGGAGGTGGTCAGTCAAGTGAGTGTGGCCAGTGTCATGGAGTGCCAGTGTCATGGAGAGGTCAGTGCCAGGTGAGTGTGTCAGTGTCATGAGAGGCCAGTGCTGGGAGAGTGTCAGTGCTGGGCGAGGAGGTCAGTGTCAGGTGAGGTGTCAGTGGCCAAGTGAGAGGCTGTGTCAGCCGAGGGCCAGTGTCTGGCAGAGTGTCAGTGTCAAGTGAGAGGTCAGTGCTGTCGGAGAGTGTCAGTGCCAAGTGAGAGGCAGTGTCAAGTGAGAGTGTCAGTGTCAAGTGAGAGTGTCAGTGTCAAGTGAGAGTGTCGTGTCATGAGGAGGTCAGTGTCAAGTGAAAGTGTCAGTGTCAAGTGAGTGTGTTATTAAGAAGTGTCATGAGAGTGTCAGGTGAGTCATATGTGAATCAGTAGGTCACGACTCCACCTCACCGCCCTGCCCCGCCCCGTGCCACCCAGCCTCGGGGCGGGGCGGGGCGGGGGTGAGGTGGGTGGGTGTAGGGATGATTTCTACATACCTGATCCAAAGAGAGAGAGAGAGTTAATTACATAATAACAATAATCTTGACCTGATTATTTCAACTAGTTCATTAATTTGATCAGAGTAATTTTGTTCATTAGATAGACAGATTAAATAACTCAACCTTATACACATACTGGGACCTTATGAAGCACACACACACACACACACACACACACACACACACACACACACACACACACACACACACACACAACACACCCACAACAACACAAAACCACCAAACCACCCACCACAACACAAAAAAGGTGGGAGGAGATGGAGAGAGGAAGGAAGGAGAAAGAAGAGAGGATGAGGTAGGAGGTGAAGGGTCAGAGCAGTTCACCAAGATCTCAGAAACGTGAGTTGAGGTCACGTCTGTATGTTATGGTGCTATTTTTTGGTGTTACTATGGTGTTGTTATGATGTTTACACACACACACACACACACACACACACACACACACACACACACACACACACACACACACATGTTGCGTGATCTTGCGTGAGTACTGTAATGGTGTCAGGGAGGGAGGAGGAAGTAGTGTTGCAATATGAGGCGCCACAACTACCACCACGACCACCCCACCCCACCACCGCTAGCACCACCATCTTTGTCTTAATGTATGTCTGTATGTCTCTCTCTCTCTTACACACACACACACACACACACACACACACACACACACACACACACCAGGTGGATCACATGTATTAACCTCACACTGATTACATACATGAGTGGATGATGAGGAGAGCAGGTGAGGAACCGCCGCCCCCACCCCACCCCACCTCACCTCACCCACCCGACCCCACCCCACCTCACACCCC